GTTTTTTCCAATCAGTTATTCCATCGAAAGAAGACATTGATCAACGTCTACATCCTCAAAGCGTCTACCACTGCGTTAAGTTACTGTAAGTTAAACTTAAATCATAATTCGATATTCATTGTTATATTCATATTCATCATCACATCGTTTATTATTAATTTTAGTCTTTTTAATTTAGACTTAAATTGTGACCATCCATTGTGCATACCAAGTTATTATTAATTCATTTTGCTCGTTGATTCTTTACACAGACTTGGGGTACTGGCAGTGGGTCTGTACCTAGGGTACGGGCAGTGGGTCTGTACACTAAGACTGTTTGCCGATCCCTTTGGTTTCTATTGAGAAGCCAGATATCGGACGTGTTTAGTCTTTGCCTGGTAAGTAGGATTTGGAGAAAGACTCGTGCGTGCAAGGGTACGGAGTAGATGGGAGTCTGCCCCGTAAACAGAGAATCTCGCTTGCACTACCATGCTCGTGTACTCCTTTGGTTCGGGTCTGGTACGCAGGTGACCAGTCCAAAGCTCCATGGCAGTCAAAGATGGATCGGGGTTAGCGAGGTGTCGCCCGTCTTTCCTATTTTCTTAAACCAGGTTCTGGCGACAACACTTGCATCGCGATACTTGTTCATACTGTAGTTTAACGTAGTTCATCGTAGACTTAATAACTGCTTGGTATATAGAATATTAGGTGCGTAAACGAAATGATCGATGGAACTTTTTCCATTCCGTCTATCTCTTTCGTTTGAGTATTAGCGACTACATTGCGTTAAATTGAGTTTAAGTTAATTCGTATTAATAGCATTAGTGTATTAAGGCTATAGTCAATAGTAGAGGAACTAAAGAAGGCTATAGTCAAAGGCGAGGGAACTTAGATTTTTATAGGTTTAGGCTCAAGAAAGAAGTCATCCGCCGAGGGATTTTAGTACCGATAGTATTACATAGTTAATATTTAAGTTATTTATAAGGTTTATTGTGAAAGATGGGTAGATGTAGAACTTGTGATTTCATCTACCTACCTTGGGCCTCCACTCGCAGCAACCTCCTCGTGGTGAGGCCTGGGTAATCGGTATTATCATCGGTAAAGTACTTTAAACTGATGACAATATCGAGCTAATGGCTGCGAACTTCGAATCTATCTCATAAAACCACGTTCTATATTACATCGAACTAGGATTATTTTAGAAATCGATATGAGATTCAAAGTGTAAAAATGTCTAGTACTTTGAATGTTTTAGAAAATTATTCGAGATAAAGATGTATGGAACTACTGAAAATTACTTTAGATTCCTTTTCCTTATTCTGTAAATTCTTTAATTGGAATATGAATGCTGCTGGAAGTATGAACATTTTCACAGGACAATGATATAAATAGAACTTTAAAACTTTTTGAAGTGTTACAGTGATATTTCGTTGGCCTCCGTATTAGCGCACTGCCCGAACGCGGATAGTATGATGTTGTAGTCGCAAGGGAGCAATTGAATCAAATAGACGTATTGTATTTCAAACTTTTATATCATTATAATTTATATGCACATATGTATATTCCAATAAACATACGTCAGGTAATAAAAGCTTCATTTCACCGAATTGTCTTAAATATAACTGCATAAATATTGTACAATCCTATACTAATTATAGTTGTCTGGTTCAACAGATTACTACAGAAACTAACTACTGCCTACGTCTTTTAAACTTGGGCTGTAGTAGTATCTGCAGAAACTGCCATGGTTGCTGGGGTTATTATCTAATTTGTCCACGGGAACACGGACAAGCGTCAGTCCCAATTCGACAGTTGCATGAGCAATATTCGACCAAGCTAGAGAGTTGTACGAGCAACAGCGATAAAGGATCACGTTTCAAATGTATACCGACGCAAGCCATTTCACTACCGTTCATCGTCCCGTAATCCACATGTAATAACAACCGATTGAATCCGGCAGAGCACTACTGCGAATTATTACACACGTGTATCGTATGCCACTGGTAATCAAAATTTCGGCGTTAAACTTATAAAACCTTTATGAAGCTTTGAATACGGTACGGAAGATTTGCAAGTTACAGAGGAGGGAATTATTTGCGGCATATAAGTTACAATATTTTATAAGCCTGAATAATATCTAAGCCTACTTTTTCTGAATTTATATAAATATCATTACAAGTATAAAGGGCTGGTCGCGGTCATACAGAGCGATCCCGCTACCAGCCCTCTGCCCGAGGGTCACCAGGGGGTTTTTAGCGTGGTGAAATCCCGCATTCTCAAGGTCAAATGCACCTTTTCAAGATTTTCTCCCCGTAAAAAAAAGTGTGCAAAAGTGTGTGTGTGTGCAAAGAGCGCATAATTTCGTAACTTCCAGCGGGACGATATAAATTCTCATTGTACCAAGGCATTATAGAATATACCGCAATTTTACCAGATTCGTCTGCCATTGTCTGCAAGAGCCTATTTCACTCTCCGTCCTTCCGTGCCCGAGGCACGAATCCTGCCTTTCTACGAAATTCATATCGGATTTACAAACGTAAGAAGTAGAATAACCGCCCTTCAGATCAGGCACACCCAGAAATCAATCGATTTTATAAAGTAGTCAAAAAGATGGTTACACCGTACAGTTTGTCGGGGCTGGGCAACTCAACAGCTCCCAACTGTACAAACGACATGTATGATATTTTTCATTTTTGAGTGGTGAAAGTGCGTTTCGCCGCAGAAAAAATTAATAATATTCACTCTGAGAACTGTATCAATATAAGTACTGCCCAGAAATGGTTCCAAAGATTCAAGATAGAGAAGAATCGTTTTAATAATAAACCCCGTTCAGGTCGACTTGTTACCTTTCATAACGACATTCTAAAAAATCTTGTAGACTCAAACCCAGAACTAATGGTCGATTAAATTGCAAAAAAGCTTAATTCTTCCAATGGAACTGTATTTCATCACCTAAAGAAAATAAGGTATAAACATCTGCAGTTCTTTTTTAACCCGATTTGAAAATGAAGCATTTCTTGATCGCATGGTGACAGGAGACGAAAAATGGATATTATTCGATAATATCGTATGAAAAAGACAGTGGACAAATAAACATAGGAAGCCCTTACCGACAGCAAAAGGGAACTTGCATCCAAACGAAGTTCTGTTATCTTTTTGGTGGGATATGTACGTTGTCATCGATTTTGAACTGTTGGATCCTAATGAAACGATTAATACAGAAGTATATTGTGAACAACTTTCCCGTTTAAACTGAGGATTGATCGACAACGTCCGCGATTCATGAATGTTAAGAAGGTGTTATTTCACCCAGATAATGCCGCACAAAACTAAAAAATTGAAGACAACAAATTAATTTACAAAAAATTACAAACTTTAACTGGGAGCTCCTGGCTCATCCACCTTACTCCTCAGACATTGCGCCCAATGATTATTAGTACTTATTTCTAACCCTTTAAACTCTTTTAAAAGGAAGATTAAACAATGAAGATGAGGTCGAAAAAGAAATCTCCATCGTTTTTGCTTTTCAACCGGAGTCTGTTTACAAATGGAATAACAAAATTACCCGTAAGATGGCAAGAAGTTGTAGATACCGATGATAAATACGGTAATTGAAATAGTAAGGTGTGTTTTGTTTTGTTTTGCTTCAAAATTCCCCAGAAATACGAACGAACTTATGGACTGACCTGATAGTTTCCTTTATTAAATCGTTATCCCTCTTCTCACTTATTCTTTAAACTTCCACGCTCTAATTTCTGTTCTTATCCTGATCTTTTTCCTCTTCGATTCCTTCGAAACAATATATTCTGGGGTTTTCTTACTTAACCCTAATATCCACTTTGAGCATCTTATTTGGCTTTTTTCACCCTTCTTTCTCTCTTTGTACCCCCATAACTCTACACCGTACATAAACACACCTACTACTAGTTTCTATCCCCTATTTTCCAAACGTGGTTAACGATTACATTCGCTCTTTTCACCCTTTTTCTTAAATGCCTTGTTAAGTTCTCATTCCTTTGGAATACCACTCCCAGGTATGACAATTCATTGACAGTTTCTACATTAGCCCTTTTCCACATCCACTTCACCTTCTTTCTTCTTCCTTTTCCCTTTCCAAATTCCAATCCTTTGACTTCTTCACATTCAATACCAGTTGATTCTCATAGAATTACGCCTCCAGACTCCTCAACATTTCTCTCAATTCCACTGCTTTCCTTGCTAACACTACGTTATCCCCATATACGAGCAATCATCATTTTTCTTCTCCTACCTTCATCCCTCCAGTTCTATTTCTTTTTAAGCTTTTCTCTACATCTGCGATGAACACCCTGAACAAGGTCGGAATCAAGGGGCACCTCTGCTCAAGCCATCACCTGTCCAAAACTCCTCTGTCTTCTCAAAATAAATCTCCTTAACTCTTTCGGTCAGCCCTGTCCTTCTACCTTTTTTTTTTCATTTGCTCCCATAGTTGCAAAATACCATTATAAACGTTACTATAGGTAAGAGTGAAATAGTGTATATTTCTTTCTCTCTCGCTCGATTTATCATAAACATGGCGGATAATGAGCTCATGTCCAGTCTTTGATTATAATGTCTCTAGTCTACGCTACGGAGGGTCCCTCGAGCATCTGTAGTTTACGTGAAAGAAGACCTCTAGATGTCTACAATGGTTCAGAGTAGCTACTCCTGGCAACTTTGCTCGAAGCCATGTCTCGAGGCAAATCTTGACTAGTTCCAAGAAGAACTTCCCGAATGGTAAGAATGAATCATTAACTCTTATAGAATAAACCTGGCCTACCACTTATCAAGAATACACTGTACTTTTGTATTCCGTTTAGTTTTTGTGATATTTGACGACAACACATATGGCTGTATACTTTGAATATACAAGAAACTATTAGTAGTATAGACTTCAAGATAAATGACAAAGTAAATAATTTTTTAAAGATATATTTATATAATTTTGTGAAAATAAAAATATATACACATTTATACACGTTATAGTAATTTAAATTGTCCTGATTTTGACGACCATAATGATTCTTTGTTACATGAAGAAAAACACAAAAAAATACTGATACATAATCATGTTAAGATAAATTTTTTGGAGCGCAACCTACTTTTCTCAACTGTTTGGTTTCTTCATCGATGTTTTTTGAATCCTTTGGTGCTTTATAATTTGCGACATGATCAACTCGTATTGTTCTACCTAAAATCTAAAATACATAAGTAATGTTTAATTAAGTGTTATTTCATGTCACATTGATCACTTTTTGGTAGGGGTTAGTTGGAAACTAATTTTTAAATTTTCGGAACTCTAATTCGAAACTTTGTAAGATTTGGAAACTTTCGGGACTTTTGAAAACTAAAACTCGGGAAACTTGAAGCACTGATTTTGTTTAAAATATGTTGAATCTTTATTGACCGTAATTAAACAAAACAAAAACATAATAATATATTCACTTATCCTTTTTTTAGCATTAACACTCAATAGTTTACTAATTCCTACTTTTTACTAGCACTAAATAATACTACAATAATTAATGGAAATATAACATTTGAAAAAACAGCATCAAGATCTTGCGAATAAAGTGCTGTTAACTCGCTCTTCTACGATCACGATCGATCGATAATTTGCTTATATTTTATCCCTGATAGCCAGTTGTGTACAAGTTTCGAACAAATTGCCAGCAATAAATGACAAAACTTGTCTAAAATACCATAGCTATCTGTTTCTGAATTTGACTTAGGTTTTGCAGGCAACAGGAGCTGACAAAATGGTAAAGCAGTTTGGCAGAAAGTCTTGCAACATGACTTGAAAGTCTTGCAACATTTATGTCAAATTGGGGGCAAAACTGGAACAAGGTTTTTGCGCAAGCCAATTTGCTGCCTATGTTGCTGCCAATGTGCGCGCCAGTTGTTTAAAGCAAATCTTGCATAAAACTTGTAGCCATGACTTTATAACATGCATTAGACAAAATTTGGCTTTGCAGGTTTGGCTGACTGGAATATTCTTAAATACAAAACTCGATTACTGAGTACTCACGAAGCATCTTGAACCGAATATTTGGAGTTTATTCATCGGTTTTATATTTTTTCTTACCTGAGTTTCGAGAATTTTTTTACTGATTTTGAAAAGCACAGATATTAATGTAATTCATCGTAAAATCATATTGATTACGTTTTTCTGTTTAAAGATGAAGGACTTACGATCGCAGTGAGCAAATACACTCAAGATAAAAAATCGCAATCACAGTCGTGAATGAAGTTAAATCACGACTGTGATCATGATCAATCGGGATTCGGCGATCACTGTGATAAATCACCGTTAGTGATTTTGCACGCCACCTCTAAATGCAACACAATTACAAATGACTACAAACTACAAGAAGCACCGCCTTCATTCCTTGTATCACTGATCTGCATATGCATACACTGACGAGCAAACTCGGCTTCCACTAGGGGAAAAAGTGGCGTTGGAGAAGGGCCTCCTAAAATTTGGTATCGGGAATTATCGAAATTTATGCCAAATTAACATTCCATTTAACATTTATTTCGGTACTTGAAATAAATTTACCAAGTAGTAGGTGGCCTTTCTCTTATGCCACTTTTTCCCCTAGCAGAAGCATCTCCTACTATGAAATTTATACCAAATTAACATTCATTTTAACCTTATTTAATATAATTCAGTACTTGAATTATATTTACCAAGTGGTAGTACGTCCTTCCTCTTATGCCACTTTTTCCCCTAGCGGAAGCCGGGGAATCACACAACTGTCATGTATGACGTCATAGCCTACGTAATATGAATGCAACAACATTATTTCAATTGCTCCTTGTTAATAAGTTGTTATTAAGATATCTGACCATTGAATATTATAAAACAGATCAGGAACAATTTTTTGATATCAGGATCTTTTTTTAAAAGACCATTTCCTATCTACAATTTTGCAAACAACAAATTTTTGCTTTTTCATTTGCGAATATCTCATTAAATATACATAAACGGTGCTGTGGGAGCAATTTCACATTCCAAAGGAGCAAATTGGGAACAACTTATTAAGATATAAATCGTTAAGAAACACTAATATTCGGCGCCAACTATTTTCCGGTGCCTGCATGGACGCGTCAAATCGTAGAAACCAAAATGTGACTTCCTGAAGTGATAAATTGACAAAAATCGAATTTCCACGATAGTGTGATAGCGGTGTGCAGGGTGGTCTGCTCTTCTTTTGACGAGAAAACTATTACATCGTGTGATATTTGACAAAATGTGACTTGAGCAGCCATCTTGTGTGTTCCATCGTCGTCTGTCTCAATCGTATATTTTCTAAAATTGCAATTCTTTCAACGTATGATGTTTATTGGTGTTTATGCAGACCAGACCACCCTATAGTAAAGTCTACCCGTGTGTTTAATGCCCGCAAAAACTTCATTTGTGGTATTATTGAGGCGCATTTTGGTTTCTACGAAATCGATTATCTCTCTCATGCATCGCGTAGCATGTACGGTTCCCGCTGCTTGTGTGTGAGCGCCAGCACGGTTCACGGAGTCTCCCCTTTGATGAACTGTCAATTACAGTCGTTTGACCCACCTAAGATATTTAATCCAAAAAATCATCCACAGTATGACTCGGCTAATCATACCGTGTTTAAGGTGGATTATTTAAATGAAGTTTACAAATAGCATCAGCAACTTTCATAGCCATATCAGTGATATTCATGCATATAGAACAATTTTACTGGTTCTTACTAACATTAAAATAAAATTCTTTTTAACAAAATTCTTTTAAGTTTTGACCATATTCTATATCCACATTTTATAAATTTGACATTAAAAGTAATACAATTTTTGCTAAATCTCCCCTTCTGTCACTATCCTCTCCTGATGTTGAAATGTAGAAATTGAACATGTTGCACTTTCTACAGAGCAATGATTCTTTTTACTCATCCACAATCATTAGTAATGCAATCAAGTATTTTTATTAAAAAGTATATTTAACGTATAAGTATCAGTGGTAAGGAATGGATCAATACAATTATTCTAAATGCATAAACAACGCCACTGGTACTCATTGAAAATATCTCTTTATATGAGAACAGAAATATTGTTTCATAGAAATTTGAAGAAAAGTCAAGAAATAATCAAAATAATTCCCAACTCGTAAAGGAATGCCACAACAAACGTTGAAAAACACAATAAACTAAACAAGACAACACCAATATGTGGTTCATTTAACAGATAAGTATGTGGAAGACACTACAAAAAAAGTGGTACCCATTTTTTAACACGTTTTGTTTGGTTTAATTTTTTTTAATTTCAATAGAATACTTTATTCTAAACTCTTTATTATCAAATATATTCAAAACAGAGTTTTTGTAAGGCATAAGTTTTTATTAGTTGAGCATAAGTCCCCCCCCCTCTGTAGTCCATGTAACAAAAAAAGCTTGGTATTATGAGTGTAAAAATGAAAGCATATATTGTACAACTAATAGTGTCTGTGATAAAAATCAAGTTGTATATATTATTTTCATGAAAAGGAGCAAAACTCACAATTTTTTATGTTTTATACTTTCTAAATAAATTTGACATAATCAAAATGACTGATACTCCCCCTAATTTTTTCCTTAAATTGGTTTCATTGAAATCCTTAAGGCCGAGTCCAAAAAGTGATCTATTTGACATCATGTCATCCTTAAGTTAACCCATTTGCATCCAGATGCAAAATATTATGGATGTAAAAAGTAAGTTCATTAAGCATTATTTCAAAATATAGACTGTGATAGGCGATATGCAATCATTTATTCAGATCTTTTTGCTGTCTATAGCACTTGTTAGTAATATACCTACATCTATAATGTAAAGTAAGAAAAAACCAGAGTGATTGTCAATGGGACACCCATAATGTAGATGATTTGAAATGTTTGATGCAAATAGATTAACAATTTTAATTGCAACAGAACAAATTCATACCTTAGTACCATTAAAGTTATCAACAGCTAGAACAGTACTCCTTTGGTCTTCATAACACAAGAAACCATAACCTTTTTGTTTGCCTGTATCTTTGTTCCTAATTAAGTTTATATTTACTACTTCCCCATACCTACAAGAATTGAATTACACAATTAATGTTTATTAGATTACACTATTATACATTATTAATATGTAAAGTAAATAGGTACTTATTTCAATGAATATTTTAAACTTACTGAGAAAATATGGTAACTATATCACCTTCTGTCAAATCGTATGGTAAACCACCAACAAAAATCCAAGCACTATCCTTATATTGGTCATGCCAAGATGTTTTATTATTCCTGAATAATTCCTGCTCTCCGAGCTTCTGTATATTTTTTACATTACTAAAAGATTTTATAACAATAACTATTTCATTCTAAAAATCAAATAATTATAATATAAGTAATCAGAATAATGTCCTTACGTTAAAGGATTCATTGTGCAAGGTATAACAAGGCTGAACTTTAGTTTGCCAGACTGTGTCGGACCAGAATTATTGACTTTTTTTATATCTTCTGGTAGTATTCAACGAGTGGAATCTAAAAATGAAAGTTTTAAGGTTAGGAATCCACCGGTTTAAAAGTTATGCCACAGACGAGGTATAGCTTATAACAGCCTTAACAGAGGCCGGAAACTCCCGTTAACTCCCGTGGTGGGGGTGCCGCACATCCCTAGTAATAATGCATTAGAAATTAGAAGGACATGCTATTTTGTTATGAGTGCAAAATTTTAATATTGAAAACAGTCAGTGATTTCTGAATATGATTTATGCAACAATCTACAGAAACTGAAAGCAATTATACAACTATGTATATACTGTACTCAAAGTTATAAAAATATAACCTTGAAAGTGACACAGCAACTAGATAAATTGACAAAATACGTATATCTATGAAAAAAACAAACAATTAATAATTTTATACTGTAGAAGAACATAGGTTATTTAATGTGTATACCTATGATAAACCTGTGTAATTTCTTTTTGTATACACAGTAGCAAACAATGGTTTTGTAGAGAAAGTATAATATACAATTCTACATATATATACATACATTATGTATTAAAATATGTTTGAAATAAATAACTTATTACATGTGAAAAAAAGTAAATTCATGATCTTTCCAACAAAAATGTCACAAAAAACAAATAAATTCTCATATTACTATTATAATGTCTTTATGGTATGCTTGTTAATATTTATATTATTTATTGTTTCAATCGCAGCATATCATATTTTTAAGTTTAGAAGTAACCAGAAACATTCTGTACATAATGCAATAGTCCATAATGACTTAAATTCTTTACATATACAAATGTTAAATGCAGACTCATTGATGGGAGATACTACAAATTTTTCTTGTACATATTTTGGTTGTTTTAATGTTTATCGATGTGGTAGTCAAGGAAACAAACTTTTAGTATATGTTTATCCACCAAAAATATATGTGGATGCTTCAGAAAGACCCATAACAAATCAAATGACCAAAGAATTTTATCAAATTTTAAGTACTATAATTTCAAGTAAATTTTATACGCCAAATCCATATGAGGCATGTATCTTCATTCCATCGATTGATACACTAAATCAAAACAGATTAAAATTATATGAGGTTTCACAAGCTTTAAAAGCATTACCATTGTAAGTTTGACTTTATTTTATATTTAATTAAAATATTTAATGTAAATAATGTTAGTTATTATCTAACTGCAACCTGTTACATCTAACTGACATTATTAAACATTACCGATTCTTTTTATCTATGTTCATTCTTGTTTATGAGTAATTTTAAATATAATTAATATTAATTATTAGGAATGTAATTATTAAATTGAAGTAAGTTTAGCTATTATAACAAAATTCTACTAATATTAAATGAACTACATATTAATATATTAACAAGTGTTAAGTATTATATTTTGCCAGAAAAAGTATAATTTTCACATATAAAGGTATTATTGAGTTTCAAAAGTAATAATAATTTCATCATTTTCTTAAATTTCAGCTGGAATAGTGGTGAAAATCATCTTATATTCAATATGGTTCCTGGAAGTGTACCAGATTATAATACAATCATTGATATACCTGTTGGGAAGGCAATGATTGCAGGTGCAGGAATGTCATCCCTAACATATAGACCTGGTTTTGACATTAGTTTACCAGTATATAGTCCCATTATAAACAATCTTAAATCTATGGTTAATAATACAAGGTAATAAAGCATATATGTACAAACAGTTGACTCTTAACATATTGCCGTGGCCGGAGCTATAGGAGAGTACAGAGTCGACGAGCAAGGTGCCTTCTTTTTCGTTCAAATGCCACGACCATAAACGTGTCAACAGTAGATTATTCCTGGTGAGCGGTCTACGCGTATCTGTGGATCTCTCGCCGAACTCTCTCTGCATCCACTTGGAAAAAGTGAGATTTGAGCGAGTATTCTCTCTCTGTCTCACAGATATCCACAGACACGCGTAGACCGCTCAGCCGGAGTAATCTACCGATACACGTTTATGGTCGCGGCACTTGAACGAAAAAGGAGGCCTCTTGCCTGTCAACCCCTCCAGCGGCACGATCACCCTGTATAATTCTTGAAAACGGCAATGCGCCCAAAGTCTTCTCCATGCTAAGTTCTGTCGTCGTAGTCCTGGCCGGGACGTTTCCACTGCCTTCGCAAGAGCTGTATCGTGCTGGTGGCAACGTGGTGAAGGAGCGAATTTGTGTGCGTGAAAATACGTGAGCAGGAAAAGTGCCTCGCGCGGCAATATGTCAAGAGTCCACTATATTATATAGTATGTTCAATTTAAGGCTATGCGCACAGTTATTTCTTTGTGAAGATTATTAATATATGTGTGCACAAGTTATTTATGTACATGGATGTATGATTCCACTTATATGTATAGTATTTGTTCATAGTTTCTTTTTTAATTACTTTCCTATTTTTAGGCCCTGGCTAGTTATTTCTTCTCAAATTAACATCAATTCCGCTTTTCAACAAGATTTAGTAGAAGTAAAGTCCATGGCCCCAAAAGAGATTTTAATATTAGGTCCATGTCTCCATCATAATTCTATGAATGCTACAATTAGATGTGCAGGAGAATATGTATATAAATATCCTAATGTACTTCAAGTATGTATAGTGGTGTAGTATGCAGTTTTATTATTACAAGAGAGAATGATTCTCAATATTGTTACTCTAAAATTATTATTATCAGACTGCAACGTTTTGCCTAGTGATTCGTGGAGCAAGACTGGGTCAGAATTCACTTCTAGAATGTATGGCAGCAGGTAGTATACCTGTAGTTATAGCTGACTCACTTATAATGCCATTTTATGATGTAATTGATTGGACCAGGTAAAAATGAATTATGTTATTAGTTGTCATATGAAGCAGAAGTAACATATACTGTTATAAATTATGAGTTATCAGTATATTCTTCATGTAGAGCCACTATATTTGTACGAGAGGTGGATATATTATCCATAATCCCAGTTTTGAAAAAAGTATCTCGACAACGAATTGGAGAACTTCAAGAACAAGGAATGTGGCTTTATGAAAAATATTTTAAATCGATAGAGAAAATAACGGAAACGACATTAGAAATACTTGCAGATCGTGTATTTCCACATTTAGCTAGGGATTATATATTTTGGAATGTACCTTCTCACAAGGAAAGTATAAATTATATTAGTTAATGAAATATTAAAAACTTATATGAATATAATCATTTTTGTACTATTATAGGGTACTAAATCACCACTCTTTTTGCCTATTACTGCACCAAAAACTCGTGGATTTACAGCAGTAATTTTGACATATGATAGATTGGAATTATTATTTCTCCTGATTAACAAACTTGTTAAAGTACCAAGTCTGTCTAAAGTTCTAGTAATATGGAATAATCAGCACAAAGATCCGCCACATTGTAAGTGTATATTTCTAAAACAGTTTATTAACAAATATTTCATGCTAAACCTTTAAATTCTAATAAATAAGTGACAAGTATATTTAAATCTACATATGTACATGTATATATATATGTATATATATTATTGCAGCATCTAAATGGCCAAAGTTAAGTAAACCAATAAAAGTTATACAAACAAAGGAAAATAAATTATCTAATAGATTTTATCCTTATAATGAAATTGAAACTGAAGCAGTACTATCAATAGACGATGATATTATAATGCTGACTGCAGATGAAGTAGAATTTGCTTATGAGGTTTGCTCAAAATACATATATCAGATTAGAAAGAATGGAAATAAAAGTCAAAATGATTATAGGTTTGGAGGGAGTTTCCAGATCGAATAGTTGGGTTTCCATCGCGAATTCACATGTGGGACAATGGAACTAATTGTTGGAAATATGAAAGCGAGTGGACCAATAGTATCTCTATGGTCTTAACTGGAGCTGCATTTCACCATAAAGTAAGATCTGTAGAGTTTATTATTTAAGAAAATTTATAGAACGACCAGTTTTTTTTCAGGCACTAAAATGATAGCCTCTCAACCCCTGAATTAACAATTCCTTTCTGAAAAATATCCGTGACACTTCTAATGCAAAATTCCCATTATTTCCTGGCATTCCCGGACATACATAAATATCTTAGTAATGACTCAGCATAATAATAAGTAAAATCTTATACATGATACATTTCAAATTATTAATATATTGGTTGATATTTTAGTATTGGAATTATATGTATACAACTGCTATGCCAGGTGACATAAAAGAATGGGTTGATGAACATATGAATTGCGAGGATATAGCTATGAATTTTTTAATAGCAAATATCACTGGAAAAGCGCCAATAAAAGTATGTTTCATACAATTTTATAAAAATTCAACTTATTAATACAGTAGACGGTGCAATATAGATTGTACTTATTCTTATCATAGGTAACGCCAAAAAAGAAATTTCGATGTCCAGAATGTACGAACACCGAAATGCTTTCAGCAGATTTAACACACATGGTAGAACGCACGCAATGCATAAATAGATTTTCATCAATTTATGGATCAATGCCATTACAATCAGCTGAATTTCGAGCTGATCCAGTCTTGTTCAAAGATGTGTTTCCCGAGAAACTTAAAAGATTTAATGATATTGGAAGTTTGTAAATATGTAATCATTTTGATATCATTACTATTTAATTAAAGAATTTCCTATTACTAAAGTAATGTAGACAGGTCATTAAATAATCATGTATGGGTGATTCCTAGTAATGTAATTGATACCGTATCAATATTATCGATACTCTTTCTTCAAGTTTCAATACGGTATTGATGCATATCGAAAACGTAGGTATAAAAAAGAATCGATACCTATTTGATACCTATTTGAAACGTGAATATTTTTTTACAGTGCATTTATTCTGAGCCGGCGAGCGTCCAGCGCTGAACGTCGAGTGTATTCATACATATTCAACGGCATATATTTTTCACGCCATATATTTCAATTCATTTATTACAATAAAAAACACATCAATTAGCAATCTTCTATAACAAATCAAAGAAATAAAAATAAAAGCCATATACTTTATATACCATATATTTGTATACATAAGAGTAAAATAATCGAAATAAAACATAGAACAGACCTGGCTAAACATTCGCCCATGGGGCCACATAAACAATAAGACCAGCCCCCACCACTCGCTTGTGTTGTGTTGTCATCCTCGGGTAGGAGGTGCACGCACAGGCTGTGACTGACCCACTTACAACACATAGTCACTATGTCAATGTGTGTCGGCAAAATCCGATGAGTAGGGCTTTTAGGCAGTGATGCCAGAATCGGGGGACGAATTACCCCCACTCCACTCCCACTACGACCTCCCCTCGTTTTCCGCTATGACCTACCGACGTCTCCCACTTTACCCCCTGATATGGAGCTCTGTCAGGGTCGACCTTATAATTTCCCATTGACTAAGTAGACTCCTCGAAGCTTCGGTTGACGGGGGCTGTAGATGAATCAATGGCTCAAAAAAACCTAAACAACAAACCGAGTTTTATAGAAGACGTTTACGTTCGCAACTCCGACAACATGGAGGAGGGCCAAGAGTCGCAGTCAGCGTTGGACCCAGACCTTGAAGTAGTCAAGAGGATTGATAACCTCATGAAGATCCCATCTATTACACTGACCAAGATCAGGCCAGTTGGTAGACCCAGGAGCTATAACATGGATACTACCAGACCGTGAAGAAACCACGACTCCGAGGAGCTTATCTCGGAAACGCCGAAATCGATCTCATCGAAAATCGATGAACTAACCTTGGAAATGACGAGGACCCTAGGTTATCTCAAGGACAACTCTGAGTCTCTGGCTGCTATGGTAGAATGTAGCAGCGCCTTCAGCACCGACATGAAGAAAATCTTCAGCAAAGTAGACGAGGATGTCAACGTAGTAAGTAACCTGTGGGCGTCGAGGAAAGCACTGGAGAATAGAAGTGAGGCGCTGAGGAGGACTGAACCCCTTCAGAAGAAGAACGTTGTCGTAATGACAGACTGGAAATTTGGCTGGCCCCCTAGTAGATCGGCAAAGTCACGCCATACCATGCGCAACGGTCGATCAAGGCACCCAGGCACTTCCTCTCGTGGGAGAACGCTAAGACTCGAACGAAGTCGATCACTCCAGCAGTGGCTTCTCCAGTAGGGATACAGTCTCCCTGTACCAAGTGGACCCAAACGGAGCTAGAGTCTCCTGCGAAAAGAGATGCGGGTACGCAGATGGACATTACCGCCATTTACACGCGTCCGACTGTAATCCCACCCATCCCCGCACACGATGTGCATACCCGAAGAGGGATCTCCTAAGGGAGAAAGGGGACGAAAAACCTCAACACTAGAGGACAAGGGGTCTAGGAAGAAAACTACTCCTCTTCTAAAGAAGATAGAGAGAACCCCCACCACCACTTTCGCCCAGGTAATTTCTCAGTCACGGGAAAGCGAGGATGGGAAAAAGTCCTGGCCCCGAGGGATCTCTCCAGAGAATCAACGTCTTCCCCTAATAGAACCCCCTCCCCCTCAGACATCAACCCCAGGAGACGGCAAACACCGCGGCGAAAAAGGGCCAATTGAAATCCCTTAAACCTCCAAGACCTGGTCTACCCCCGACGTCCCCTAGACCCCGTCGCGGACGTACGGAGGCAATCACTGTGGCGGCTGCCAGGAAAACTTATGTCGAGGTATTTAGATCCCTTACGAAAAAGGTGGTCCCTGCACTGATTTGCAGACGTTGCGTGAGGAAGGGCCATGGCGCCGCGGTCTGCAAGAAGGCTCAGTTCTGTATCACATGCAGAAATAGAAGACATCCCCCGGAGGTGACCAGTCATATGGCAGGGATGGGAAGCTGCCCGTATGCAAAGTGTAACAAAAATATTGGAGGACCCGGAAATGGGAGATTCGTGAGGTGATTTGAAACAAGTTTTTCCTTGGCAAAAATGTTATCTGAGGCTTCGTTAACGAGATATTAACGAACAACCCCGACCAATCAGAGCGCGAGTCGACCGGTCAAGCTCCCGCGGTAGTGTTGGCTACGCGCTGCGATTGGTAGCCAGCGCTAACGCGTGAGTTTGACCGGCAGACTCGCGCTCTAATTGGTCGGAGTTTTTCGCCTTGGGATCTAAGACCACCGACTCAAGAGGGTAGATACTCATCTAAATATTTATCCTGATTTAATATAGAGATTACGTAGTGCATCAACTTTTCAATTGATTCTGTTCAAAATTCTATCTGCCATTACGCAAAATCCGAGACATTCCTTCCAGCGTGCCCTAAACGCGCGTTGTCTGGAGAAGAGATAAAGAGCAGGGCTCAATGGTTGACTGTGGGGGCAAAGCTTGGCATCGGGCGATTTTTCTTCGACGACCAGGCAAAGCGAACGCCACGGATGACTATGGATCGGTCACTTTCGCCTAAAATGGTGACGATTCGCAGCGCTAAAGGTGATGCGTGTATGTACTAACAAGGGAAGTTCGGTATCCGAAAATTCCGATTTTTTTTAAATTTTGCATGTTTGTAGGGGACCTCAAGAGAAGTATAGCGCAATTTTTGTTTTTGGCCCAATTTCGGTTCTTCAGGGTGAAAACATCCCTTGAACATCTCCTTGTACACCTTTAAAACTATCGTAGATATAAACAAATGGTTATACTAAAAATTGAATGGTTTTTTATGCTCTATAAAACGATGCAATTACATTGATAAAAATTCTTTGTTTAAATAAATACATCCCCCCCCCTACTTTTATTAATTATCAATTTAATTGAATCGTTTTATAGACCTTAAAAAACCATTCAATTTTTATTATAACCATTTTTTTTATATCTACGATAGTTTTGAAGATATACAGGGAAATATGGAAACACCTATCTACAGTAGACTCTATATCTTTAATGCCACTGAAAATAATGCGACATGAGTCACTTCCCCTTCACACGTACTTTCGCGCACACACATTCGCTCTCCCACCTCGTTGCGTACGCCATAGCGACAGAATATGGAGTGGGCTCTAAATTCATTGCCATTTTATTCTCCTACAGCCCCGAAAGTGGCATTAAAGTTAGTGTCTACTGTACCTTCAAGGGGTGTTTTCACCCTGAAAAACTGAAATTGGGCCAAAAACCAAAATTGTGCTATACTTCTCTTGAGGTCCCCTACAAACCTGTAAAGTTTTAAAAAAATCGGAATTTTCGGTTGACCGAACTTCCCTTGTAAGTGTTAGGGAAGGAAGCCGGGTTCTACTTGAATTTATGTAGGATCAGAGATAATAGAATTATGCAGAAACAGGATAACAAATTTATTAAACACTTTAACTTTGTAATTCACAGATACAATACGAAACACTACAATTAAATTCATTAATATAGTTCGTCAAAATTATGCCGTCCGTGTTTTATATACCGTCCGTCTCTATTGCTAGAAAAACACTACTAACAATACGATCGACATTGACATAATCCATTCTCTTCTCTCTCGCACTCACAACCAAATTATTCTCTCTCAGTCTCTCTCACAGATGCAACAAACTACCTCTTGTTATAAACAACTCAACTTTTCACGGTGGCAATGAACACAAAACGACCAATATCACATATATATAAAATTACCCTACATTTATGTATGGACCATACAAGATTTATACAAGACTGTCAGTGACTGGTGACTAGGTACTGTAAGTTTTGCCTGGTTCTGACAATTAGGGAGTGCCTGGAGTGCCTGGCATCCAACAGCCGATATAGCCGGGAAAAGTGGGTGTCTAGGATTGCTCAGTGCTGAGCGTGGAGGTTGATAAAGAAGCCAATAAAGAACACTCCCGATTACGAATAATTAACCTTTTCGCTACGGACGGATTCTACGGCGCGGTACTCCCGCGGAACGGGCCGCCGCGCCACAAGTGTGCACTTGCGGAAGAACTAAAATCGCCAAAAACTAAATGGTGGGTTACCATGGCAATAACATATAAGGATTATTCGTGCAAACGCACGAGTAACTATAGTCACCGTCCATCACCGTGCGTATGCAGTGAGCATCAGACGTTTGGTGACTATAGTCACCACCCGTACATAGTGAACGTCAGGCGTTGGGTGACTATAGTCACCGCCCGTACGTAGCGAGCGTCAGGCGTTGGGTGACTATAGTCACCGCTCGTAGCGAAAGGGGTAACCAGACACTTTGCACATTTATTGGACGTTTATTACAAAAAAAAAAAGTCTACGACACTGACGCGATGCGCGTGCGGTATGTCGCGTAAGAATCGTACTGGTTTTCTCCGTATTCTACGGGTTCTCGCCATAAGACAATGCTCGAGCACAGAGAACCCTTATTTGCACAACTCGGTGATTGACTGTCAGTCATCGTGCAACACAGTTGCCTGCAGGGATTGGATTTCGGCGAAATCGCGTGATTTTCGAGGAACAAGGAGTGCAGCGGGATCTCGCGAAACCTCGGGAGCGCGACAGTGCGCCAACGACGTATTCGAATTTCGAACAATTATTTCACATAGACTATAACATATTAAAAAATCCGAAGATATGTTGCCAAAAGTGATCCATTAGGCGTGGAATGGGCTTTACCTGAACCATGGCGTCTGCCTTTAACAATTCATTACGGAGTTAGCTTTAATATCTACATTTTCAACAGCAGCTGATCTTGTAGGTAAGATTTTAAAGAACATGAACATATTTTTTTCAAATTTTCCGATAAAATGATTTTTCAATATAAACCAAATTTCTTCGAATACGCCAAATCTTGTACATAAACAAAAGGAAAATTAACTCAACACGATAAATGTTTTCCGAGATTAAAGTTCATAAGTACTCCCCGGTTTCCCCCCAAAAAAAGAAAAATTTGTAAATTTTGACAACCTGTATTTTTTTAAACAAATGCGATATCATTACAATAATGACTCCCCGACCCCACCATCCCCACATTTTGCGTGGACTACAAGTTATTTCATTCTGAACAAAATGTCGGATATCGAGTGCAGAAAGTGATCGATTTGGCATGGAATAATTCGTATGTATAAATAATAGAAAGTCATGTAATGCCCTAAGCAGATCATTAATAAATAAATATTATTCCGTTTTTGCGTAAACTTGTTAACAGAAACTATGAACCAATATAAGATATTACGGGTTCTTTGAAATTTTTAATTGAAAGTTTATAACGAAAATTGGGATTGCTAGTAAAACTACTACATACGCGGGTTTGAAACCGTAGAAATAGATTACACATAATGTTATAAAGTTTTATGATACTTCAGCTAATAATATTAGGTTTTAATGTTTTAATTGTTTCCTGTGTAAAAAATCCCACCACAAGTGTAATATTTCTACCGTAGATATGAATGTGGGCAGCTAAAAATATACGTGTCAAATATGTTTCAGTAACTACCTCTGTTCCAAATTACATAAAAATGGCGTGTTACACTTGAGTGAAGTATCTTGTTGGTAATAGTTAGTCCGCTATATCGTCGATTATATCTAATCATGTACTATTTCTAAGTGTCAATACTTCCATTAATTTTAAAACATATCCCTTCTACAACTGCTTTCTTTCCAACTTCGTGAGAGGATAGGCTAGACATGTGACTCTAAAAAGATGCAATATTATTAAATATACTTATCTATACAGGGTCCGGCTGAATAATATGTAAAATCGGACACCATACCTTATGAAAAAATAAGGAAACAATATACTGTGTTCTTCTCGACTTGATTTTCGAAAAAATCAACTTTGAATATCTGTTGGATACTATCACGTTGCACACTACGAGGTGTGCAATTGAATAGGACTTGGCTAGATGGTCACTGCATTGCGTTTCTACGAAAACTAAGAATGACAAAATTTTATTCAATATTTTTTTCTTATTGTTTCATAAGGAATCACGTGGTGTCCGTTTACACATTATATGGTCGGACCCTGTATGTGTAAATAGTTTCCGAAAACGAGGAAAACTTACCACTGCTGACTGTTCTGTAGAATTCATATAACCTATTATCATTGAATCAGTTGAATGACTCCATAAAAAATCTCCTAATCCTTCCTGTGGTGCAAATCGAATAGCAATAACACCTCCAAGTTTTTGTTCAAGTTCACACAGAAATTTTGAATCTGCAAGGAGAAAAATCCTTCAATGCACAAAACTATTGCATTCTACCAATTATACTTCCAAGTGAGGGTTTTCTTTCACATCAATAGATGATAATAAAGTAGTTACAAGTTTTCACCGATAAAGTCAACTTTCATGGCATGATGTAAACTGGTAGTTGGACAAGGGCTGTCTGAAATAGCATCTGCAACTGTGCGTGCTAATGAAGTACGAATTAAGTGTTCCCCACAGCCTGATGTACTTGTTCCTATTGAGTATTTTCCTTTATATGCCCATGTACCACATCCCCATACTCCAGCCTTAAAATTACATAGCAGTATAATGTATTACTTAACATTATGCAAATGGTTGTAATTCATAATATAACACAAAAGTGGTTGGAGTTATAATAATAACATAATGGATTAGATATTTCTATATATTGGTCCATATAATGAGTAAAAACAATGTTATATTTAGATTACATGCAAAAAAATTTACAAAGAATGTAATACTTGGCCTACTCTTCCTGGATATTTTAAAATTATACCACCACTAGAACAGGCTGCAGCAATATTTCCATCTTCATCAACGCATATGGCACCGACAGTATCCATTCTTCTTTTAGCACACTATAACAATATCGTAAAATGATATTATTAAAATAATATGCAAACATACAACTAAACTCACTTTGTGGGCTTCCATACTAGAGTCTTCTACTTTCCTTTTATAATGCTTATATATTTTCTGTGCTTTCACTAAAAATTATAATAAAATGTTAGCAAGAATATGAACACGTATTAGACAATTAATTATACAATAATTTATAAACATAAAATCGAATTAAAGAATTTAATAGTTCAATGTTGTCAACAAACTTGGAAAAATTCACAATTAATAACTAGCATTGTTTTATTTACTTGAAATTAATTGTTCTGGAGGTAATGTTTGTATTCCCATTTCTTCTGCCCATACATGTGCTCCGTTGCCAACTAAAAAACTAATATGTCAAAAAATAAAAACTTTGTTTTATTATCTTAAATTGTATCAAAATTTAAATTCTGACAATTTACCTTGGCGGTATTCTGCCATATGCAATTTTAATTGACTGTTGTTCACAAAGACATTTTGCTAACAGAACAGGATTTTTTATTCCACTAACTGCACCAACTGCTCCAAATTGTAATGTAGTGCCATCCATAACACTGGCATCACATTCTACTGTTCCTTCTAAAGTAAGATTAGAACCAAACCCAGCATTTGTTAAAGGAGAATCTTCTAATATCATTATTGTCTCTACTATTGCATCCAATGTATTACCACCACTCCTCAAATTCTTCATACCCTTTTACAAATGTTTCATACGTATTATAAATTATAATTTTATTTATATAATCAATTAAACACAAACAAATAAAGTTATATATATAAAAACAATAACAACTTACAGCTTCACATGCTTGACGACATAATTTTTTATATTTTTCCTTAAGAGCTTTTGAATGCCGTCCTGCACCTAATACAATACAAAAATAATAATGCTAATAATAATCAATGTTGTTCAAAGTAACTAAATCATTCAACTTTTATGTTTAGCTTATTGTGAGAGTAATACCATTTGTTATGAAATTTAATAACATACCTACATGAACAGCAATAAATCCTTGTTTACCATTACTCATTACATCTAAATATTTTTTAGTTGCAAAATTATCGTTCATTTAGCGAATACATGTAATATTATGAAAATCAGTTACACAGGAAAATATCTATCAATTCTAAGCCTTAACAGTGCATAATAATTCGACCACCATAATTTTATCGTTGTTCTTTATTAAATATGACAAATTATGCACGCTAAAATGTCATCAGAAGGGCTAAAAAATGTTCAGGTTTTTAGTTGCAAACAGTTGCAAATCTCCAGCAAATCTCGCAACGGTTGAACGTTGAACCACGGATTACTATGGACTACGGATGACTTTGGATTGGTAACTGTCGCCTAAAATGATGACGATTCGTAGCGCCAAAGGTGATGCGTGTATGCACTAAATGTTAAGGAAGAAAACCCGGGTTCTACTTGAATTTAGCCCTGTTACCATTTTAGTGTCAATATCCGACATTACCGATAAAGCATGAATTCTGAGTATTATTAGCACCAATGAAGTGTTATATATTCCATTCATATTACGTGTATCTATATGCTTTCACGAGAATAAAAATATCCGATGCTTCAGTTTAAGGTTAAGGGATAAATATGACAGTCATGAAACATGAAACGGAAAAGTATATATTTTTTCACTTAACTACAAGACAATTTATTCTAAATGCATCGTTAATGGACATTTTTATTAATGTTACTTTTTACATGTTCTTGTTTTATTCGTTTTTATATCTTGCCTTACATTTGTATATTTGTAACAGATAAATTCAGAATAGATGTAGTTTCATAAATAGTTTATCAAATCTACATGTGGGAGAATATATACACCGGTTTCATTAGCATCTACATATTTATAATTTATATGGGAGTGTGAATAGTTTTACTGCCTATTGTAAGAATTTTAATACGCACGAACAATTACTTTCTGGCAATTGGTAAATTTTTACATATGAATTTACTTACACGTTATTTACTTCCAAAAATTTTATTTATTGCGAGTAATTAAATAATGAACGTATGTTAATATTCAGC